TTTAGGCTTAGCTCGGCGCGCTGCTCCGCTTGGTCGGCCAAGGCGCGCAAAAAGTCCAGCTGATAGTCTTTCGCATTTAGCGGAGATAGTGTGGTTTCCCCAGCCGAAGCCTCAGCCACCAGCCACAGCAATAGACAGCAGTAGAGCAGCGACAAATTGAACATCTTCTCGTGAACACTTTAGTTTGCCAACTAACCGAAAAGGCAGCTGCTGCGGCTCATCGTGGGTCAGTTTCATTGCAGTCGCAATGTAAACAAAGTTGTTATAGTTGCCCGATTAGCAGGCGGCGGTGTCGGCGGCGTTATTGTTGGAGCTCAGTGCTTGGGTCAGTCGGTTCGGCGATAACGCCAGCGGCAGCAGCTTCTGCTGAATGTACCTTATCACTAAGGCGGCAACAGCGACTGCGAGTGCACTGAGCGAAATGCTGTGGCTGGCCATGCCGCAGCCGCAGTTAACTTTGGCACGCGACTAAACCACAACCAGAAGCAAATTTAAGTAAAGCCTCACAATATTTTTAACTAGGCAATTGTGCACATCAAAAGTGCTCGAACCAAAAGTTTCTATAGACGTGTAAAACTTGAATACTCTATCTCAACAAGACAAGCACTTTAGCAAATGGCATGACTTGAAGGCTAGCATATGAAGAACATAATTTAGACATTTCAATCTACACAATTTTAATCAACTGATCAGTTCTAAAGATTTAAGAATTATTATTTAACTTAAACACAAACTAAAGCATTTAATGGTGATTCGAAAGGGGGACCAAAAACTTAGACAGTTTTAAGTTTCCGCATTTAAATCAATACTCAAGATTTAAGTAAAATATTTAAACAAAAGGTGATTCTGTAATAATATAAAATTAATTAAATTCAATGCAAATTAAAGCATTTAATGGTAATTCGAAAAGGAGGCTAAAAACTTAAACAGCTTTAAGTTTCAACAACAGTTGCAAGCTGCAGTCGAAATCATCAGGACTTAGTAAGGACTCGAATGTTAACTGCTGTAAATAGCTAAAACCAACGACCCACTAGACGTTGGTTTACCCATTTACCTTTGCTCTGCCCCCCACTCAGCTAGCATGTGTGTGTATGTGTGTGTGTGTGTGTGTGGCTCGCTACGTGAGTGCACGTTCTAGACGGCAATTGTTGACCAAGCACAGTTGCTCTGTGGGTCCTGACTGTGTGTGGGGCCCACTCGCAAGTTAAATAAAAGTTGCAGACGCTTTTCATTCATTGACAAAACTTCAACGGCATCCTAATTGTGCCATGGCGTGACTCGGTTTGTACCTGGTTGAACCTGGACTCGTTCTAGTCAAGTGCTGTGAGCCAGTTTTTACCGCAGCCTGATTGAAATTTGTCAGGTTGATTGAACTCCTTTGGGCAGGCTAGCTGATGAAAGGCTTTTTCGAATACCTTTACTGGCTTTAAATCATTGAAAATGCCAAACAAGTTTAGTTGCAGTTATCTATCTTCTTATTTTACCTATTTTCATTTGGTTCTTTCGTTTATTGCAAGTTGGCAATGTGCCCATCTTGTTCATTAGCTTTAAATATTTGATCAAAGCGACTAATGGCTAAGTACACACACACACACACACACACACACACAGTCAGAAAAGTTCGCCTCTGTCTTTAGCCAGTTGTTGGCCCGATTCGCGTCCTGCTGCCGCAAGCAACTTCATGATTGCCAACACCTATTAAGACAGCAGCCCACAGTAGCCCACAGTAGCCAACTGTGGGCCACAGTGGCCACAGCTCCGGCTGGCCTGGCAGCCGCAACAAACAAAGCTTACGGGCGTTGTGGAAAGTGTAAAAAGTGAGAAACGGCCAGCAAAACAACAAATAAAAGCTACAAAAAGTCACAACGTACAAGTTTTTAGCAAAAGAAATTTTCCAACAATTGCACAATTGGCATGCGCTACGCATGCGGATGAATGGGCTGCCGGGGATTTAAAGACCGAGTTTGGTCGACAACAAAGGCAAACCGTTCAACTCTAGTTCTATGTCCGGGCCGAAACTAAAAGAAAGGGCAAATGCTGTTCAAAATGTGAACAGCGTCTGATGGACAATTCGTAAATTGTTTAATAGGCTTCCTTTAAAATAAAAAAAAAGTATTTTATTGACAATTTAGATTGCATTTAATTAATTATAAATGATTACCGCAAATGTCCTATAACTTTTATCAAATCTAATTTAAGAACTTGATAATAAATTTTGGAACAATCTAAATATCAATTCACATCAGACTTTAAGCTCAGTTGCAGTAATAAGTTAGTATCAAAAGAATACGAAGCGAGTCTAAGCTATAAGGATTGATTAGCCCCAATAGATAATCAAATAATGTGCATTACGAGTGCCGTTTCCCACTTTGTAGAGGATATTTTCAACTTTAGTTAGCCTGATTTTGCACACTCGTATTATTCTGAGAGTTTCACTTTGTGAGTAGCAAAACTTTGCCATTTTTTTTTTTTCATCAGCAGCGAGCGAAGCCCGACATTTTTTACAAAACCGAAACAAAACTTTGTATCTCTATGGCTGGCAATCATGAAGCAAAAGGGGTGCGACGTCGCCAACTCTGGGCCATCCATAAAGCTCCAGACGAGCAGGAGACATCCTGGTTGGCTGGCGTGAAAAGCGCTAAAAGCGTTTAAATGAATTTAAAAGAGCAAAACTTTTGTTTTTTCAACGAAGGGAAGAAAAAAAAATAAAAGGAAAGGAAAACATTGTTGAACTCTTTGCTGAAACATTTCAGTTTTTATGCGTTTCACATTGTTTTCCCACGCTGTGATTTTGTTTAAAGTTATAAAGTTGGTCGCTGGATGGGATTGAGTGGCCTCTGTGTGTGGTTAGGGTAATTTCCATGCAAATGATAAGCTGACTCTCCGGTTACAGACGGAAGCCAATGCCAACTTAATTGATATGCTTTGAAAGAACAACACAAACCAGCGACAGTTACTGAAAATTTCAGCTAAGCAAACTGTGCACCGTCCGCGTCTCTATACCGCCCCTCTTTAAGGATGTCACAGTCTATTGCTCGGGCCCAGACACCAAGCTGTAACCCAATTCGCAAGTCGTACAAATTGAGATGTATGGGCCATATAAATGCAACTGAAAATCGCAAGAGTCAAAAACAAAAGACCAAAAATCAGTTCAACGCCGAAGACGCACACACTTTAAACTAGACCCTTATTAAGACAGATAAAGATATTTGAAGCTAAGATGTTTCTATTCACTACATTGCTTGCATATAATATTATTATCGTAACTTAACTAACAAGAACTACGTCTCAATTATGTGCATTCAAATAAAATAACATGGCTTACAAATAGCAAGTAAAAGTTGTGTAAACTAATATTGGCTAGAGTATAGAAAGTTTGTCTTGCTCTTGGCTCGCGTTCGGTGCGCTGTGTCGTTGTCTCTAGTTGGCGGATTAAGCGATGAGTTGAGAAGCGGCGAATAAACATACAAAAAACTAGACATATATTCTACAAGTTTACTTTTCGTTTGCTGCTGCTGCTTCGGCTGTTCGCCTTGTGCTGATGAAAAGTGCACTTTAAATTGTATGCGCCATAAAGTATGCTACAAAAATACATCGGGCTGTTTATGGCCGTCCATGTTTCTGCTTGGACTCGGCCTCGAATGTGGGTCAGGGTTGCCTGCTTATGCATTTAGCAACATATCTCGTCCACTGAGGTAACTCACCGGCTTTGCCACTGGTTTCTGGTCTTCGGCCAAGTCCAAGCGGCTGCCAAGCTTTTCGGCTGTTGTCAGCATAGCACCCAAAAATACCAATTCACAATCACACACGAGAAGAGCAGCACTTGCAGGAAAACAGGGGGGAATGGAGGAGTAGAGGCGGTGGGCAATGGGGCCTAGTAGAGAGGTAGGGCACAAGTTCAATCAAGCAAATGTAATGCTTGCCTCGGCTGCCAATTGCAGGCGAAAGCGCAAAATACAAAGATTGAAACTAGCATTGACAGTTTGACTGAATGAGTGAGTGACATGGCAACAGTGTGTGCGTGTTTGTGTTTCTCTTCTTGTTGTTGTTTTTGCTACTGTCCAGGCAATTGTAAATGCAGGTGGACCGATTGAACAGTTACAGAAGTGCTATACCCCAATAACATGTGACTATATGAAGAAAAAGTTATCTGAGTTAATGATGATTAAGTTCAATTTAAAAACCAACATCTTGGCAATTTTTTAAATATAATTAAAATCTCTTTTGATAGTTCTAACAATCGAACAATTGTACGAAAGTGTTTTTAAATCAAGAGAATCATAATATTTGCTGCAGATTCTTTAATATTTTAATACGATATGCAAAAACAGCCCTCGCAAATATTTACACACTCGCACACACAGTAACAAACATCCGTGTGTGTGTATGTGCACTTTAATGTAAGCAAAGCAAGTCAGGAATAGCAGCCACTCGAGCGGAAATGCGCATAACTGCATCACAGCCAGGACACACACACACACACACACATAGATACATAGACGCACACACACGCACTCTGTGGCACACATTGAGCTCATCTCAGGACTTAAGTAACCGCTCTGCCAGTGGCAATGGCAATGGCAATGGAAGCGTCTCCTGCTTCTATCAAGCCCTAAGTGCTGCTTTATTAACCAGGAGACAACAACGACAACGACAACAACAATGACAACGACTAACCATCGACTACTTTGATGTGGACGATGGCTGCAAACAACAAAACAAGCAAGCAAAATAAAACACAGCCAAACAACAGGTCCAGAAGCTGAAGTCGCTTAGTAAAGTTGAGATTGTCCAAGAACCATGAAGGCGGCCCAATTATGCACTTTATCTGGTGCATCCAATTGAATTACAACCAGATCCAAATTACATTAGCCGGCTAATGGGCAATTTAATGGCTGTACATGAAGCGAAACACATGTCAAAGCAATATAATTATAAGAACTCATATGCCAGCAGCAGCGATCAGTTTTGTCTGAGCCATGAACGATTGCTTAGTTAATAAATTGCTGCTGCTGTTTCTGCTACGTTTGGGGGTGGGATCATCGCAGGGACTAGCTAGTCCTACAGGGTAAGTCCAAAAACAATATTACTATCTGTTCTTAAATAACTACGGGAGTCTGATCCTAAGATTAGCTTGCTTTTCGTAAAAATGTTCGCAGCTCGAATTATACCTGTTCTATCATATTCAACAACATGTTAAAAAGTGAAAAGCATGCCAAATTTGATTCAATGTTAGTCACAATTTGGAATGCAAATGTCTGCGACAGAAAGAGAAAACAAATTATTGCAAATCTCCTCACGTGCATAACGAATTTCAATAACAAATATATTTCTTAGACTAACAATATAGAAACTAATGTATTTTACCATCGTTGTGGCGATAGTAACTATATTTTGTTGGCACCTGCGAACATCTATTCGGGCCGTCCATATGGAGTTGTGGTGAGCACGTTCAATTACAGATTGCGTAGCATTTATGAGGTTGTCATATCCGGCCCCAGCATCAATGTGAGCATGCAATTGCTTACAACTGGTAACTTTCCGTCCAGCAAGTATACATTTGATATTCCCGAATTGGAGGAAGGTCTTTATTGGCTGAAGATAAAGTCTCTCCGAGGATTAGAGGTTGATAACTCGACGCAATTGACATGGCGTAACTTTAAAGACTTTATTAAAATACAAACGCCCAAGCTGCTTTACCGACCGGGAGAATTGCTGCAGTTTCGTGTCTTCTTCCACAATGAGACAATGAAGCCAGTGAAGCCACGGTCCAAGGCGGCGGTATGGATTGAGGACGCCAAGGGGATTCATGTTAAAGTGTACAACAGTTTGACGGTCGTAAAAGGCGTATTTCAATCGGAGCTACGTCTGAGCCTACAACCAAATCTCGGCGGCTGGCGCATCTGCGCTCAGAATGGAGTTCGTTCCAATGAGGAATGCGCTTATATACAGGTTTCTAATTATGAATTACCGTATTTTGAATTAAATGTGACTGCGCCAGCCGACGTTAACATAACAGACCAAAAGTTCGACGTAGTTGTATGGGCAACACATATTTCTGCTGGTCCCATCGAGGGCAACCTAACGCTTCAAATTGAAAGCTACACTGAAGGCGAGGTCGAGCACATTCCGCAATTCGTTACGCTAGAAAGTGAACTTCAAAACGGCAAGGCTACGATCGATGTGAAACTAGCGCAGTTCCAAATAAAGAAACTTGTTTATATACCTCTTCTACTCAGACTAACCGCAAATGTTTCTGAGAAATATACCCATAAGAAAGTTATTTCCACCACGTGGGTAACCGTGTGGGATCCAAAATCAAAAGCAATACCGCCCATTAAACTTGTGCCCGGAAGCCGTGCCAAAAAACGTGTAAATTTGTAAGTACAAACAAAATTATAATTAAGAGTGCTCTAGTCGAAAGGGTTCGACTAGGCGCTAGCTTGTATCCGCTTGCGAGCAGTCATAATAAACATCCCAAATTATTTTTTTTATAAACACACAAACAAAATCTCAACCATAGCCATTGTACGAAATATGCAAAAGGAAGGCTAACCCCCTACAAAAACATCATCAGAACAATTTAAATGCATTTTTAATACCAACAGGCTATTAATAGAAATTTATTTGGTTTTCATTTCTCGTGTATTTTTTTTACAACTGGAAAATCTCAACATTTAGAATACAAATAGAGAAATTTGGTACACCATTAAAAACTCCGGAGAAGGTCATGTTTAAGCTCAACCTTACGCTCACAAATGCCGTTTGTGTAGTCATATTTAACGGTATTATATTGGGATCGGAAGTAGTCTATCCGGATCAATCGACTAACGAATTTGAGATCTTGATACAATTGACTACGAAAATGTGGCCGCTTGTGCATGTTGTTCTGTACAGCATGGGATCTGATTCAAATGTTTTAGTGATGGCTCGGACAACTATTACACCGACTCGACCTGACCACGAACATGTGAGTACAGCAAAAAAAAAAAAAAAAAGAAGAGAGTTGGTCATTTCTGTGTTTTATAGGTTGTCATCGAAGCACCTACTGAAGTCTCGGCTGGCGATGAGATAACCTTGCGTATAAAGTCAGCACCCGATTCCTATGTGGGACTTGCTGCTGTGGATATACGCGTTCTTTACCTCGGAGGGAACTTTTTTAATGATATCTCCCACAACTATTTTGATACTATTAAATCCTTTATACAAACGTCGGCATCTGATATGATACACACCGAAAATCATGCGGTCCAGAAGTCGGGCTTAATTTTTTTGACCAATGCAGCCAGCATTTTAGACTTGACGAAAGGTAAATTTATTGATTTTTTTTTATTCACAATACCAATATATATTTTTTTTAGATCCTAAGATTTCGCGACAAAATCCAAGGGAACGCTTTTCTCGTGACAAAGTAACTATGCGGAACGAACTGTACGACTTCGATGATAGACAAATGGAAGATAATGCGTGCTGCGAAGTACCAATTGTCAGAGAAGAATATAACGATGTGTGGATATTCAACAGCACACAGAGGTAAAAGTAAAATGTGGGATGATTATTACAACAAATCTTAGGACATCCTGACGGATCTAGAAACAATTCAATATTTTCGCTAATGAATTATGATATTCATTTTATTATTTTAGTACAATAGGTGACTGGACAACTTGGAAGGTGCGTGTTCCCGATGGCATTACTAATTGGAGGCTGAGCGCCTTTTGTGTAGACTCTAATGTAGGACTAACAATGCCAATGTCCGAACCTTATATAAATATAAAGAGCAAAAAGCTCCTGTTCATGTCTTTAAGTGTGCCCTATAGCATACAAATTGGTGAGTAGCATTTAAATACAGCAATTCATTCAACTTTTATAATATTCTTTTATTTCTGTTTTTGATCAGACGAAGTCCTGCAATTAGTTGTGTACTGCTATAATAATTATGAGGAGAAACTTAAAGTAAGCTTTGAAATTATGCAAGATGATAAGCACTATCAGGTGCTTGATAACGATGGAAAACCCCTGACTGAAGGGGCAAAGCAGAGAGTGACTATATCGAGTAATATGACTGGAGAAGTAAAGTTCAATCTACGCGCCCGTCAGCCCGGCACAATAAATGTGACTATTACAAGCATGTCTGACATTGGAACGGATAGCATAGTTCGTAAGATCAAAGTACGACAGGATCCTCAACTGTTATCAGCACAGGTAATGACCTATCATAAACTGTCATTGCGTGAACCAAAAGCGGAAGGCACACTGGAATTTTCGCACCAACCAACTGCCGAAGGCATCAAGTGTTTTGTGAGTAGTCAATCGATTGCTGTAATGCCGCAAACCGTGAACCTCTTCGATCCGACGGATAATGGCGAACAATTGATCAGCAAACTGATGTCTATCTATTATTTGTGGAAATATTTTTTTGACGATAAAACGCTGTCTCAAAGCTATAGACAGTTTTTGGAGGATCTGCTGACGGATGGTTTTCAGTCGTTGATGCGTCTACGCAGACGTGATGGAGGATATCGCTACATTTTTGGAATCCAACCTGATTGCAGTTCAACCTGGTTAACTGCATTTGCCGTGCAATTGTTTTATTTGCTACAGAGTTCCCCAATTTCGTTTGAAACTCGTCTGTTAATGCAATCTGAGAAATTTCTGCTTCGCCGTAAAGGCGACGCGGGACAATTCGAGGAGCTCTGCATAACGCCAGGCCGGCGAAATATCCAACCATTAGAGCTGAACATTGAGATACTTAAGGTTTTGCGATTTTCGAATAGTTTGTTAAATTTCCAAAATGCCTTAGACTGGGTTAATGCGCAAATGGAAGCCGAACCAGACTACTATATGCAGGCCAAGCGCGGACTTAACATAACCGAATGGATACAACCGAAAATTGCGACAAATGCCAGCTGGATAGAAGACCGCCGTGAACTAGAAACAGCTGGCCGCATATTATTAGCTAACTTGCGTCGTAATCGTGTAGAACAACAGTCAGATATCTTCAGCTGGCTGTTGGGTCAACTCTTCCGTAAGGCCAAATACGAAAACTGCTATGAGTGCTCTGTGGCTCAGCAGGCCCTCTACGATTATATTCAGACACAGCCAATAGAAATACCAAAATTAAGCGTGCTGATTTGGGAAGACCCAAATAAAAAACTGAAGATCAATATCAATGACCAAAATCAATGGCAGGAGAATCTAATGCCGCTCAAGACACAAAGCAATAACATTAGCTTTAGAGCACAAGGCACAGGACAATTATTTTTACGCTGCGCTTATGACTATAAGCTGGACAATCGGGATGTGCAGAACCCAAAAGCTTTGCGTTATTATCTATCTGTGCGTGTTAGTAGAGAAGATAAGATCAAAGTTCGATTTTGTGTGCAACGCTTCAATCGGGAGCGTCAAGACTTCGTGGGCAGTAATTTGGAGTTGCAGCTACCCTCAGGCTATGTGATGGACCAAGAGTATTTAGCTCGAAATATGTCGTCCAACGATTTTGTAAGTACTTTAAATATGTTTAACTTAAAATTAGCATAACCTTAAGTTGACAAATATAAGAAGATTATCCAAACTAAGATCGATTATGGTGCATATTCAATTCATATTTTGTAAAATTCCGTAAACGCATTTCCTGTGCACTTTTAAGAGTGCCCCATTAATATTCATGGGTTACAGGGTGAAGAAACTGCCAAGTTTTTATAAGAAAACCATATCTATATACTCATAAATAATTAAGTCAATAATAAACGTTTAATCATTTTATAGCAATTCATCGTATTGGATGAGTATACTAAACTCTTTGTGATTCTGAAGAAACTCGCAGTTGGAAAGTTAATTTGCTTTTCAGTGTTTACTAGCCTTTACCACAAGATAGAAAATCTGCAAAGCGGAAGGCTGACTGCGTACGATATCAATTTGTGGGAAAAGCGTGAAGTGCTCGCCTACGAATTATCTCGTACTGGTTTATTTTCCAATAGCGCTAATAATCATAACAACAGTAATATTAATAAACGAGTGAAGATTTTAAATTAATTAGGTTGCCTTCTCATTAGCAATGTTACCGAGTTAGCTGACAAAACTTTGGCCCACACAGGTGCCTGAAGCAGGAGCTGGAGTTGTTTGCGAGCCGCCCACTCCGGCGGCTGCGAATCTTCTCAGGAAAACCGAAAACGCACGTTGCGGCAGCTGCTTGTAAAGTTCAAAAGCTGTGATGGGGTTGAGAGCGTTCCCGGATTCCTGATTTAATGACTGACGCGTGGCATTCGCGTATTTGTTTACGCCCCGAAGCGAAAGCTAAACCAAAGCCACGATTTCTGTCTCATATTTTGGCGTCGTGTGCGTGGTACTTAAATATAATGGAGTCTGGAACAGGAAACGGACCTCTGCTCTGCACACATGTAAGTTCAACAGACTCCTTACTTAAACATTATTGCATATTAATGAACAGGCAAATGGGAGTGGGAGATGTTTGTGGAAAGGGGTGTTTGCATGCCTCAATAAATATAAAAAAAATATTAAAAAGAAATTAAAAGTGTTGCCTGCTTTAAATTATGCAAAATAAAACATTGAGAACAATTAAAAGCTAAATAAAATGTGAGGACATCGAGTCAAACACAAAGAAACCGGGGTAAAGCTTGAGTTTATGATGAGTGTCAAATAAAGCAGGAGGCATGAAATTCCAAAATAAAAGATGCAATTTAAAACTTGACGAGCTCCAAGCCAAAAAGAAAATGTCAAATGCATTGCTAGAATAAAATCAGATGAATTAAATTCAATAGATTATGAAACACGTAAACTGATTGAACTAGAACGAATCTGATGAATATATTTCTAAGGCAATCTGAACATTTATAAAAGGAGTTTTGCCTTAAAGCTTTAAATTGCTAAATATATGAAAAATCATAACTGAGGTTAAAGGTATACAGTATATTGAAGCTTTATTTCGGATATAAAACATTGTATCTCAAGAAAATGTAACTACAATTAAGGCCAGCATTATTAACAAACTGCACCCTTCAATCTTTTGAATATCTTAAATTGACGAGTGTTGTGGAAAGTTGTGCTTGACCACAAAATAAACAAAATATTTGATGAAACAAATTTGCACAAATATAAGCAGAAAATACACATAAATTGCCTACAGGTAAGCGAAAAGTGCTGTCTAAGCTGAATTTCAAATATGTGACAGCATTTGCAGCAAAATATTCTGGAAAATTGACCTGCCAACAGCTAAGGGAACAATGAATGCTGAGACGAGCAGCCAAAGCTTAGATATATCGCACTTCGATATGCCAAGCTTATGATAATGCCAAAAATGTCCAAGTGCTAATATAAAGCCAAACTCTCAGCCTCCGGGGCAGGGCAACAAAAGGCAAGGCCTTTGCCAATAATGCGGCTGCTGCCGTTGAGTCTTTTGCTTTTTTGATTGTCCAGCAACATATTCAATTTCTTTAAAAATACAAAATGAAAAATTGTGCAAAAATATACATAACGTATGCAAAAATAACAAAAGCCAAAATATACAGCAAAGCCAACGGCATGAACATGTTTATGAGTATTTTTCTATGTCTATTCTGAGTGGAGCTGAGTGACGAGATGGGTTCGAGGCGATGATGTATGAAATAGACTCATTTATGGATAGGAAAGGGAAACGAAAAAAAAAAAAATACAAAATAAATAAAAGCAAATTCAACATGTGGCAAAGTAGACATTGTTCAACAGTCAACTATTTAAAATCAAAATAAGTTATATTAATATGTTTTAATAAAAGCCAAAGCCAAAATAACCTTAAGGTTATGAATAAATATGTTTTATCTGCAAAATTTCAAATTCCTGCTGAATCTGTTTTGTACAGTTTTGCGAAATCAATTTTTATCGACTGCCTGGAAAAGGGGCAAGATATAAAATATCGAAAACTAATTTGTACTGCGCTGGCAATAGGAGGAACTTCGTTCAAGTCTCAAGCTCTTAGCTCTGAAATACTTGCTTTCATACTTACGGATAGATAGACAGACGGACAGACAGACAGACATGGCTATATCGACTCGGCTAATACAGAATATACATATATAATTTATGTGGTCCGAGCTTTTTTGCTCCTACTGTGTTACACTTGCACCAATAAATTTTTACAAAGCTTTATATTGGTCGGGGTATAAAAATCAAGTTAAGTTTCTTTTCAAAATATAGCGTCATGAATTATTTTGAAAGCATGACTGTCGTAAGTATTTTACGACCTGTTTAGAAACATTTGAAACAGACCTCGCTCATCACATCATCACTCATGCTGCATGCCCATGCTTTACGGCTTTATGCATAAGTAATATCATGTTAGTGTCAATAGTTGTCAACGAAACGTTGTTGACAGACCCCATCTGCTAAGCTGATGCCGCCTCTTCACAGAAAGTACGACCCACTGACTGATTGTATATGTGTTTTTTTTTTTATTTTATTATTATTCTTTTCTTTTTTTTTCTGGGTTATACATTTGTTTCGTGGCACTTCGTTATCGCCATATACGGCGCCCATCTATGCTTCGCCGTCGCGCACGTCTTGCCCCTCAGGGCTAACACATGGTACACATTGTATTATTTTAGATTGGCATTACTTTTGGGGCCATTGGAGATGCCTGTGCTAAATACAACGAAGCTCGTTAGTTTTGCTCTCGGCGTTTGGATTCAGTTTGCCTCCATTTCATTTCTTCTTTTTCTTTTTTTTTTCTGCGCTGCGTTGCCAACTTCCGGAGGGGCGCCTCACGTTGCCCATGGCGTGTCCTTCAGCCAACGCCTTGCTAGTTACCATTACGTATACGCATGGCCATGTTGATGTGTGTCTGTGTGTTTGTGCGAATGCTTGTGAGTTAGTTGGAGGGCCGCATATGTTACTTTATTGGCATTCAATTTGAGTTATCGCTATTTTTTCCTGTTCATATGCGTTTTTTTGCCAGTGAAAATGAATTTTTCTACTTTTCACATTGTCCATTGTTGTTGCTTTTGCTGCTGCTGTGGTAGTTGAAGCTTGAATGCAACCAAGACTCTGAGATTTCAACGCTAGTTTACTTTTGTATCTGGGCACGTTTTTGTGCGCTGGACAGCAGACACAGCACGCGGCACAAACATAACATACTACACACTATTCGTATAATCACATTTTATTTGAACTTTTCTCTTCGGTTTATTTGATTTTATTTTTATGCCATTCGCAGTTTGGTTTGCCTTCGAGTTTATTTGGCAGACATTTTTTGTTTGTTATTGTTGTGTGCCAGGCTAACAGTTTTTTTTATTTATTTATTTATTTATTTTTTTCATCTTAGCAAACGTAAAGTTCAAAGTTTATTTATATTGATTGGCCTTTCAGGTCATTTGGGTATAGTGTTTGTCTCTGTAACTCTGCTAAAAGTCTCTGCAACTGTTTTTGGATTGATGCATATACGAAATCAAAGCATTGCCACTTGCCCGATTTAATTGAAAATTACTGAGCATCAACCTCAATTTGGTATTTTGAGTTCAGGCAGGAAAATGACTGAGACAAGCAATTAAAGCTGTCGGTAACTATGGCTACCTCATTCAAAGTAGTTTATTGATATTAATTCTTAGTTTGAGCCACAGTTGAAAGAATAAATTGTGTTTCGTATACGGGTAGCGTTGGTTTGCATCTTTTTTACTTGTTCCAAGAGATGTAAATATTTCATAAAAATATATATTTTATGCAGAGCTTTTTTCTTAATTAATAAGTTACTTGCTTTCGTTGTTCTTGACACGTTCGTCCCCCAAACTCAGTGATTGCTGCTCATTTGGCTATGTTTGGTAGTTTCTAAACTTTTTGCGAAGCTCCCAGAGCACAAGCTGGCTGACACACAGACAAGTGGCCTCTGTGGAGCGTCAATCGTAACGCCCATGAACGCCGCATTTAATTAAATTAACAACACAAATTGTCAAAAGCAGGCGTTGCAAATGTTGCACGAACCTCAGGTATACAAGCCACAGCAACAACAACAACAACAACAAAAAGGTAAAAATATAAAATAAACAACAGGAACAACAACGCGAACAACCTTATTAAAAACGTGTCAAAAACATTTTCATAAATATACCAAATGAACTTTTGCGGCTTGTCAAAGTGCCAGTTCCAAGTGTCAAAGTATTTGCGAAAGGCTACGAAATCAATAAGCTAAGAAGTTTGTTTCTTGTGTTTGGGCAAAGGATGGGCAAATGTCGATTGGGGTTGCGGGTTTATGTCAATATTATATTGGCGTGCAACAAGTTTATAAATAAATATATAGTATAAAAGTACGCTGCCAATAAAAGTGTTAACACGGCAAATGAAAATATATTGAACATGAACTAGCTTACAAAAATTTGAATATTGTGCGGCTGTGAAACGCATTTAAGCTCCATTCGAACTATGACATATTTAAAGCAAGAACTTATCCAATTGTTAATCAAAATTTATATGATAGCATTTAGGGAAACTTTTTTGGGAGAATGTCAGTCACCCTCATAAAACCCAAGTTTGTCGCAATTACGATAAGACGTGCTGCTTTTTTTTTTTTCTATTCTTTACTGGCGGGTCGATCATACCAGAGAAATAGGAATAACACACGATATCAATAAGCAAGGCAAATAAAATCAATTGTTATGATGCCATAACATATCACGCCCCATCTTCAGGAAGGAAATTCACCACGTTGCAATGTGTGGCAAAGTTTTTCGTTTGCGTTGGCGAAAACATAGGACCCCTGAGTGCGGGTGTGTGTTGGGTCTGCGGGGCATGGCATTTTTATTTTTCTTCTTTGTGTGCGACTTGGGATAAACAAAGCCATAATTCAAGCAACGTTTACTCGCTCACAGCCTCGACTTGCATAAACAAATTGTGCTCAACTGCTGTAGTCGCTTACGGGCATCGGGGTATGGGTTATGGCCATCTTTCCTGTCTGGGCATCTGAGAATCTGCGGGAGCATGCTCGTCAAGCTCAGCGTAAACATGATAGATTTATAGTTGGCTCTGTTTCTGTGGTCGCCGGCGACAACATTGCACTGACTGCGCAA